GATTTTAACAACTCTGAGCTATTAGTTAAGTTCTCCCCAAGCGAGCTCGATGGGCCGAATGGCCTCCTCTCGTTTGTATAGTTCTTATGTTCTTATGTTCTTATGTAAAAGCACCCTGTGTGGTGGTGAGGGAGAATCTGGAAAAGCCAGGTAGAGCTCATACCATCATGTAATCAGCATTAGCGTGAACTACTGTTACGTTCAGTTTTATCTCTTGAGATACTCCCCACCCATACCTCCTTGCATGATCTCAGCTGACCTTCCTCAGACCAACCTCATGCCCTATTGTCTTCCTACCTCTCCCCCAGCTTTGTGAAACCTGTACCCCAATAAAATCCCAAATTCGTCAGCTCATCCCAGTGTCACATGGCTCTAATCCCCCATCACAAACTCAGCAAGTCTTACAAATTCCTACAGGTTTTTTTTTTGAGCAGTCAGGTTGTAATGAGTGCCACAAATATCTCTAGACTGCTGATACCTTTGAGCAAGATGTTGATTGGTGCAGTGAATAGGGTTGCAAAGGGCTGGAAAATTTCTGGAAATTTTCCTGAAACTTTCCGTTCCATGGGAAGTTAAGCTGGGGAATTTTGGAAATATTCCACATTAGAAACTTTCCATGGGAATTAACGGGAAAGTATGGGAATTAACAAGAATATTCCTAGAATTTTGCAACCCTAGCAGTGAACAGATCCATTTGTTTAAGTGCTATAGGTCAAAGATTCGGTTAAGCAGCTAAATGGTATGAAATCCAGACTGAGAAGTTTGTGACTCTGTAGTGGCTGGATTGGCACTTTGATGTCACGGCTGCTGTATTAATCTCGTATTTCTTGCTGCTCAGTCTTATTTCATCTTTCTAAGTTCTGTTCTTCATGACTGTATTTGTCCCTTTCGACTGTTAAATAACATGCGCGATCTGCGTGTGTCTCAGTGTCTCCTCCATGTGGTCCTCAGGAAAGGCTCTATCCTACCTCAGCGGCCACTTCTTCACGGACGCTGGTGGAAACCGGGGCAGGGCGCCCAACGTGGCCGTGGTGCTACTAGATGGGTGGCCCACAGATAAGGTGGAGGAGGCATCCCGGCAAGCCAGAGAGTCCGGCATCAACATCTTTTTTGTCACCATCGAGAGTCCCACTGAATACGAAAAAGAAAATGTTCTGGAGGCCAACTTTATGGACAAGGTAGAATGTCCATGCATCTATCTTGCATAACAGTTATCCAGTACAGGGTCAAGACCATCATGGAGGCATCAGGCACAAAGCAATACCTAATACAAGAGTCACGACTTTAGAGACGCTGATTTACTTAACCTCATGACAGTGGAAGGAATCCAGAGATCAAGGAGGAGCACCCAAGTACCCATCGTCTGTCCATTAGCATAGGACACAAGGCACCGGAACACCCTGGATGCCAGTCCATAGCTTAGCATATACCTACGATCATTCACTACAGGCAATTTATAGACTCCAGTTATCCAAACTAAGTACATTAAACAAACAGTATGACCATATTCTTATGACCATTGTTATCCAAAATGAACTGCTAAATTCTGTAAATTTTATAACGCAAATTTTGCCAAATATCTCTTCCTCAGTTGTTTACTTACACATTATAACTGATAAAGTCTATTCTATGTTTAGTAACAGACAAGATGAAGGATCATTGTGTTTTGAGCTGGTGAATCTGACTGCCCGTTCTTCTTCTTCAGGCAGTTTGCCGCACGAACAGCTTTTTCTCCCTGCCCATCTTCAGTTGGTTTGATCTAGGGGACGCGGTCCAGCCACTGGCCAGGCGACTGTGTGACACGGACCAATTGGTATGCAGCAAGACATGCCTGAATGCCAACGACATCGCCTTCATCATTGACGGCTCCAGCAGCATCGGCACAGGCAACTTTCGCACCATGCTGCAGTTCGTGGCCAACGTGACGCGCGAGTTTGAGATCTCGGACACGGACACGCGCGTGGGCGCCGTGCAGTACACCTACGAGCAGCGCCTGGAGTTCAGCTTCAGGCAGCATAGCACCAAGCCCGCGGTTCTGGCCGCCATCGAGGGCATCAGCTACTGGAGTGGTGGCACCAGCACTGGAGCTGCCATTGCTTACGCCGCCGAGCAGCTCTTCAGCCAGTCCAAGCCCAGCAAGCGAAAGGTCATGATCGTCATCACTGACGGGCGCTCCTACGATGATGTCAGGGCTCCGGCCTTGGCCATCCAACGCCAAGGTAAGGCTGGGCCAGGTCAGGCATTTCATGGGGCATCATGTCATCAAGATAAACATGGTATAGCTTCTATATCTCTACCCTCCCTGGGTAATGTTTAAACCCCGAATTGTAAAAGTCATGTTAAGATCAGTTAAGATCCTAGATCAGTGTTTCTCAACCTAGTCCTCAAGGACCCCAGACAGTCTATATTCTTGCTCCCTCCCAGCTCCCCTGAACTAAACAATCAAAAACAAATCGAACAATCAAGAACACTGAATACCTGGTACAGGTGTGCTGGGAGCTGGGAGGGAACAAAAATGAGGACTGTCTGGGGGTGCCAGCGGACTGGATTGAGAAACACTGTCATTGATCCTAATATTCATCAAGATCCTGGATTTCATGGGCACCATAGTGTTAAAGAAGCCTCACATGACATCAAGCAGCACGAAATATCATGCTGTTGAACCCTTGAGTCCCCTAACTCCTTATGTCATCATGTGTGCCCAGGTGTGATCGCTTACTCCATTGGCATTGCTTGGGCGGTTCAAGAGGAACTAGAGTACATTGCGTCAGACCCCGACATGGAGCATTCCTTCTTTGTAGATGACTTTGACAACCTCCACAAGTTTGTACCAAAGATAATTTCTAATATATGCCAGGAGTTCAACCAACAGCCAAGAAACTGAGAGGGGGAATGGGGGATGTTTGGGACAGCCCAGGGTCAACAGCCTTGATGGATGGCGCCAGTCTATCGTCACAGGAGGTCGATCTACTTGAATGATCTTTGCTAAGATACCAGTAGACCCTTTGTACTCAATCAGCAAATTCATCCCATTTCAGCAGCTAAATGTTAATGCTATACAAGGAATTTGCACTGGAAAATATTATTATCCCCTATGTCTATGTTTTATGACCCAGCTGATAAGGGGGATATTGAAAAATAATAAAAATATCCTGGGTATTTATAAAATAGGCACAAAATTTTTATATAAGAATATTGTGTTTCCTGCAGGAGGTGAGAGATAATTTTGCTTGGACGTCACAAATGGTGTCATTTCAGACCCATTTCATAACAAGCTTGTCACTAAGGGTCTGTTTTTGTAAATCTGTGTGACAAGCACTCCGTCCACATGACTGTAGAGTTCATCTTTTCAGGACAAGGGAGAGCATAGTCCTTCGATTCTGGAATACGATCACCTAGCAGTAAAAACACGTAGCACATGTGCTGACTGTGAGGGAATGGGATGAATAGAGAGAAGCAATGGCAAGGTACAGCCCCCCCCCCTCCATTTTCTTGTATGTTATTTATGCAACTGCCACAGTTGCACGTTTTCCAGACATGTTGATGTTGAACCTGTGATCAGAAGGTTGCTGGTTCTAGACCCGCCTCAGCCCGACTGCTTGCTCCTTGAGCAAGGCCCTTAACCCCTCTGGGTGCTGCTATGGGCAGCTGCCCCTCAGGGCCAGGTTACTCTCACCTACAGAGAGCAAGCTGGGGGAAGCAAAAAGAGAAATTCCCCATGGGGATCAATAAAGTATCGATGATGATGATTAGTTTCCTGTGATGTAAGGTATAAAATGATGTGTGCAATGAAAGTATAATAGATACTTGGAAAGTGATCTGATAATATAGAATTACTGAATTGCAAAAATTCCATAATAAAGAGCTGACACCAGGATGAAATACAACATTCTTTTATTACTGTTATTGATAAATCTGTCACTCTCCCATTTGGGAAAAGGAGAATACAACATGGAAAAAAGAATAAACTATAATAAGGTCTGTACAGGAAAATTAGCATATTTATCAAATACACATCTTTAAGAATCTCTATACAACTGTACTTTAAAACAGCAATGGTGCTACTGTACAGGCTGACTTGGCGCATCCCAGAACCCATTGCGGTTTCCTCTATGCAGGGCTAATTATCTGTACATCTGTTTGGCCCTATCGTGCTGTGTGATCCCAGTCCAAATCAAACCCCTCCCACCCCAAAGGCCCACCACAGAACCTTTCTGCAGTTCTGGGCAGTAGAATCGTTAACAGTATCAATGGACTAGCTGGGTGCAGGAAGAGAGTGGGGGGCTTCTGCAATTTATTTATGCTGGGGGTCTCCTGTCTGCCCTGCACCATCTGACGGGATTTGGGGTGTTCAGGAGAGAACGGGAACGGCGAGCAGCAGCAGGGCCCCGGCTCGCATGGCAGATACGTCACCGCGATGGGTCGCCACGCGGAGCCGTTAAGACGGGAAGCGTGGGGCCTCGGCACAGATATGCAGCCTCAAGCTCTGAGCTCAAGCACAGCCTATGAGAGCCAGATGCCTCAGGTTACAGCAGGAGCTCGCAGGAATAGCTCCGAGGTGTAGCGCTGGCTCGTACAAGTATGGGTAATTAAAATCTTCGGGTCAGGCTTACTCACGATCATCGCCTCTCGATTCACAGGGACATTGCTTTGACGTGCCCTGGATGACACAGGTGCTCAGAAGAGCATGCGAATGGCCGTCTACTCAAAGCCTGATGTGGTTTGGGGGCAGGCAGAAACGCAGTGCGATCCTGCGGACGCGTGATTGGCAGAGGCGAGCAGGGAATGCTTTAGCTCTGTTAGCATTAGCCACTGAGCTAGGTGGTGATGGACTCGTGTTCACATCTTTGAAAGAAAGAAAACCTCACTTACATTAATACTCCACATCACCCAAGTTATTCTATGTTAGTTGACATTTCTGAAGACTAAAAATGAGTGTGAGGCTATTCAGCCATCTTGAGACAGCTAGGCGTCCGACAGCTGACCGTATCGAGATCGTTCACACAGGTTACTGCTAAGCAACGCTGTGCATGCATCTTAATGCCGTACTAGGGACATCAGGCGGGGCCTCAGTGCTGTCATTCAGTCCTCTCTCTCTATCTCTCTCTCTCTCTCTCTCTCAGACCAGCAGGGGGAGCTCTGCCCTCCCCTAAGCTGATAGCATGGTATTGAACAAGACGACATGATTACCACGAGAAGCACACCAAACTGATTCCATTTCACGTCACTTTATGCATTTCCATATATACTGTATATTTATAAATAGATCTTTAATACTTTAAAACTATATATTTTTGAGATTTTAATCTTTACAGTTCTAAAATTAATAACTGATGCACCAAAACACCTTGGAAAATATTTTTTCTGTACTATGCAAACAGATACATATACCCAATGATTTCCCCACTATCCCTGGCAATAGGAACATCTCGATTAGAAACCACAACATTTGGTAAACAGCGAAATCCCTGTCGATCGTGGTGAACTGCAAACTGTACAGACCAAAATGACCCGGAATGAAACACTCCTCATTTTTTGTTTTAGCTTGTGTCACTATTTATGTTTTTTTGTCTTTTTTTGGAGGCATATTAACCATTGGAAGAACGACAAACTCAACCATACACACCAATACAACCAATGACTACACAACAATCATCCGAAAGATTCACTTTGTTTTCAAGTAATTGTAGAGGAAAAAAAAACAAAAGTCTTTAAAATAAACCAGTATTTGTCTAATCACACATCTCTCCCTCCTACACCGCTCAGACATCTAACAGACAAACGTTACTTGTGCCCAGTTGTTATATACACATTGTCACATTATGACAATGACACCTTAGCATAGGAGCAGGAATCTGCGCAAAGTATGTTCAGTACAGGTTTCGTTTGGCATTTGAACTCCCAGCAGAGTCTGGGGTCAAAATCACAGCCCCTTGCCAGAGACACCGTTAGTTACCTGACAAACACGGCCCCTCGTTCACACGTTACCGCACATTTAACCTGCTGCGTCTAAAGTTTTGGTTGAAATTAGTACAGAGATGATAAAATAAATATACAAGGGGAAAAAACAAAAATAAACAAAAGAGCATTTCACTGCATGCTATTTTAAATGCAGTTTGTCAGAGAGCAGGGAAAAGGGTGTTTCCTGGCTCAAATGGTCAGGTAATCACATTCAAATGATTCTGACAGGAGCCCCCACCCCGTAACGGATCCAGCCTGTATAAAACAACGAAGGGGTACGTGTCTCACTTGATTTCATGTAATTAGTTTTCTTAATATAGCACGACACTGGCAAAACAACCCTAAGATTTTGGTCTACACACTTCATCGACTTTAAACGTATTTATAATCAAAACATGAAAGAGAGACAGGCTGCGGAGAAGGTAGCGATCGGTGTACCACCATGTCCAGGAAACGCCCAACGCAGGATGCATTTCACTGATTCCACGTGATAAAATGTCAGCTATATTGCTCTGTAATGTTATTTTTCTCACTTGAACAGCAGATACAGAAAAAAAAATCAAAAGGCTTCTAAAGAACAACAGGAATATTTCGTGTATATCCAAAAATATCTAATCTAATACAAGGATTCTTGAAGCGGGGAGAGTCCTTCAAAGTAGAATGAGTAAACCATGTATACTCTCTGTACTTCTTAAATAAAAGTATCTTAAATTTTCTTTGAGTTAGAAAAATAAAAGCGGAATTTACAAGGATCTGTGGTTGAGCAGGCCTACATAAAAATAAGGTGTGTATGTAGACTACCTGGCTCCTACCTCACTTCAAGTCTGAACAGTTACAGTGGGAATCTGTTCAAGGCCATTTCCAAACATGACAGTACTGTGAACCAGGTCCAGTCTTGGTACTACAGACATAGCAGGCCATTCTGGGTGCTCTAAAGCCATGATCACCTGCCCTTCTCTACTCTCCCAACAAAGCAAAAAGCCACATTACGATTATGATGGAATATACATCTTCTTGTTTATTACAGTTATTTAAATTGTACATCCTGTACTAGGTTAAAAACTGACACTGGCGTAAGTCACCCTCTCCCTGCTGAAGAAGAAAACCAAGTAGAAGAACATTTTCAAGACTTCTCTTTGAAGCGAAGGCACCTGTTCTATAGACGTTGAGGATTAAATGCACGGCGGGTGGGGGGGGGGGGGGGGGGTGAGGGAGGAGCTTCTACGGTGGCCAATCGGCATCCTCCTCCTGCGTCACCAGCCTCGACGCCATGCTCTCCTCAGGAGGAAGGCTGCTCAGCTTCATGGTGCGATTCTCCAATGGCGAGGCGACATGCCCGAGCTTCCGGAAACGTCCACCTTGTCACCTCGCCTGTGGGAACCACAGAAGGAACAGAAGTGCCCCGGCCCGCCCCGCCAGCGATGGTGGCCGTTGGCCTCCTGGCTGAACAGACACGGGGCCCCCGCCGCACCCAAGGCCTGCCTGGATGCCTGGCGGGAAGGGAGGGGGGGGGGGGATTGGAGAGCCACACTGGAACATCCTTCCCGCTTTGGGGTCCCCCACTGTTATCATGCTCCGACACAGGGGCTAACTGGCAGACCCCCCCTCCCGCCCCCACCGCTAACCCCACTGGTGTTATCGGATGGGGCAAGGGTGGAGGAGAACCTACAGGTAGGGATTACAACGGGGGCAGGGGGGGTGACCCCAACTAAAGCATGCCTCACTGCTGCCTCCATGAGTCCGCGGGGCGGTAGGGCGGGTGGGTCGACGTGTCATACGAAGACTTTGGCCAGGGCGTCGGCTCCGGCACTAGCGATGTAGCACTTGGTCGGGTGGAACGCCACGTCGTGGATCGACTCCTCGAACTTCTTGCGGTGGGCAGTGAACTCTTGGATGCATGTCTTGCTCTCCAGGTTCCACAGGCGGATGGAGCAGTCATGGCCTGGGGAGGGACAGGAGCAAGACATCACACACGCTCTACACATACAACACAGTATTATACACCAATGAGCCAAAACATTATGACAAGACCCACATGATGGGAGTAACGTTAATCTCGCAAAAACAGTTAATGTCAAGGCCTGAGATATATTAGACGGTTAGCAAACATTTAGTACTTATAGTCCAGGGATCTTCAAACCTGGGCCTCGAATCCAAATCCAGGCCTTGTTTTCAATTCTCCCAGGTAGTTGGTTTAATAATTACTGATTCTGATTGGCCACAGAGGCGTCATACCCAGCTCACAAGTAAAGGAAGGCTGGAAAATCAGTAGGGCTCGGACCTTGAGGACCATGATTTGAATAGCCCTGTTATAGTCAATGTCCTGAATGCAGAAGAAATGGGTAGGGATAAAGATGAGTGACAGTGACTAGGACCAAATCATTATGGCCAGACGACTCAGTCAGAGCATCTCTATAACAGTCAGCTGTTGTGAGTTCCTACTGAGAGACTCAACAATGTGGGATGGGAATGAAGGATATCCCCTGTGGTACAAACCAAGAGAAGGGCTACTGCGGCACAAATGGCAGATAACTTTGATAAAGACAGTAATGATGAAGGATTAATGTGTCATGATACAGTGTATCGAGCCCTGCAGAGTATGGAGCCACGTAAAAAGCGGATATAGCTTACCATCTAATATATCACAAACCCTAACATGCGCCATTTTTACTAGTAAGTCAACAATATTCACTTCACGTGGGGGGTGGTCATAATGCTTTGGTTCATCTGTATTCACAGCATATATTCCCCGAGCTGTCATAAGAAGTATTACTAGAACTGCGTTTTATCATCTACGAAACATAGCCAAGCTTCGTAAGATGCTCTCACTTCGTGATGCAGAAAAATTAATACATGCCTTCGTAACTACCAGACTAGACTACTGTAATGCCCTCCTTTCTGGTTGCCCGTCTGGTTCCTTAAATAAACTTCAGCTGGTACAAAATGCGGCAGCCAGAGTTCTCACAAACACTAAAAAATTTGATCACATCACACCAGTCTTATCCTCCCTTCATTGGTTACCAGTTAAGTCTCGGATTGACTATAAAATACTGCTGTTAACCTATAAAGCACTGAATGGCCTTGCACCAGACTACCTTAATAATCTGCTGACCACATACAATCCCCCACGCTTGCTTCGATCTCAAGGTGCGGGATATCTGTTAGTACCTAGGGTAGAAAGATCTACGGCAGGCTGCAGAGCTTTCTCCTATAGAGCTCCTCAGCTGTGGAACGGTCTTCCACCGGATGTGCGGGTTTCAGGCTCACTTTCAATATTCAAGTCTAGACTAAAAACACACCTATTTAGTTTAGCTTATAGGGACACTAGTTCTAGCTCTAGCTAGCTTCTCACTCCCAGTTAAACCTATAGTGTGAGGTGTAGAGCTGGGTGGGGATCGGTGCCATTGGCTTTGGATAAACTGAATTGACAGTGCTGTCACTCTAGCTTCACAATTGCTTGTGGGATTGGAGTGCTGACATTTCAGGGACTCCCCATGCCTGCATTCCCACCTGCCTCTCCCTCCTACTTATGCTGCCATAGCCATATCTGCCGGAGCATTGCACTTCATATTGCACTCATCTAACTTTTAGCACTGCCTATAGTCTCCCTTACTTTGACTAATTGCATTTATTTCCACCACCTTCTCCTGGGTGGTGCTACCTGGAGCTTTCAATCTATCAAGATGTCCAGCACACCCTGCAACATGTGACGTCGCCACTGCCAATGACGACCGTGCATCCAGCTCGCCGTTCTGCCAGTGTCATCTTCCTTGTATGACCCGCTCCATGCCTTCTGGCTGCCTGGCGATTGGAGGAAGTGTTGGCACCGGCTTGTCATCTCCCCCCTGCTCCCCGTTTGTGTTTCAGACTAAACTGTATTTGACTCTCCCTGCCGGCCCCTGGAGGATGGGCTCCCCCTTTGAGTCTGGTCCCTCCCAAGGTTTCTTCCTTCTAGGGAGTTTTTCCTTGCCACTGTCGCCTATGGCTTACTCACTGGGGTCTTTGGGTAGGGATGCTGTAAAGCACTTTGGGACAATGTAATGTTGTGATAATGCGCTATACAAAAATAAATTTGTTGTTGTTGTTACCCACAAACCCCAATAGTAACAATAGCTACAGGCAGCCAGAAACACTGCCACATGTAGTGTATTACATAACATGGGTGGTTATGGACCCTTTTAAACATGCCCCAAAGAGACCCTTAATGGACAGATGCTCCTCTACTTACAAACTTTCAATTTACTAACTTTCAGACCTACGAACGAAGAGGACTGCAAGTCCAAATTGTGTTCCTTGGGCTCCCGTTTCCTGTCCGCAACATCAATTTCTTTCTTTCTGCCCTTCAGTTCTGTCTAGTACAACTTCTGGCCGCTACTCCCGCCGCGCAGCAGTGTAACGTGCGTACTCCCGGCATCCTAGTTCTTTGTACTTGCGTATACCCTTAAAATGATGTTGAATAACGACTTACGAACATTTCAAGTTACGAACGACCGTTCGGAACGCAACTCATTCATAAGTAGAGTAGCCTCTGTATTATTCTTTATTGGCACATTGATCTGTAACTCCCCAGATTCCTATAAACAGAGATGGTTTGCTTCTCCCTCCAATCACGGTCTTTCCCGCCCAGAGACTGTACTCCAGAATGGCACGGGCACAGGGAGGTGCCTTGAGCACGAGCACGTTCTCCAAGCGCAGGTACTTACTGCCAGACATCAGGTACAGCCCGTTGGGGTCCACAGCCAAGCTAGTGACCGCGTCAAGGTGGGCGACCATGGAATGGATCAGTTTTCCTGCAGAAAAAATTCCCAAGATGAGGCCACTTTAGATTAGCATCTGGTAAACTGTATTAACCCATAAGACCATGGGCCAGCCACCCCCTGACTGAGCGGCACCCACGCCCAGGAGCAAGAAGCACAGCTCCTGGCTCCCCCTAGTGGTGCGGCGGGGCACCCTGGTCCTACCTGTGTTGTTGTCGAAGAACTTTATGTGCCGATCCTCCTGGGCTGTGATGGAGATGGGGAGGGTGGGGTGACTCAGCACTTTGTTAATCTGACTGGGAGTGCCTGGGTGGTTGGGGGGGGGGAGCAAAGAACGGGAAGAAATCAGGTAGAAATCACACTGATTGCAAGTGATGGTGACATGAAGCTTCATGAAGTACTGAACCATTTTGGCAATGTGCTTCGAGAAAATGCTCAGTTCTTAGTGCTTTATCCAAATACTACTGGGCAGATTGTGGAACAGGCAAAAATACTATAAGCCAAGTTTTCTCAGTGACGAGACATTTTCCACCAGACCTTGGAACTAGCCATTGCCAAAAGCATCAAGGAATAAAGGGAAAAAAATGATATCATTGTTTTTCTGAGCAGCCAATCTTCATAATAATTAGCATGACTTAACAAAATCATCTCAAAGGTCATGTACTAAATGTATAAGAATATCAGTCCTTTGGTGACCTTATACTGGCATTAACTCGAGTGAAAGGTGGATCAGCATTTGTGGGCAAAAACTTAACCGTGGAAATACAGCAACGGCAGAGATCAGTTAATGTCCACATGTAAGCAGCTGAAGAACATCTTGTCACACAGGATATCATTTGGATGCCCCGTGCGGCTTATTACTTTCATTAACCCCCTGGGGCCTGAGGCCTTTTTTCCACTTTCGAGGTAGTCTGACATGCCTTGACATTTTAAAATATT